TTCGCGCGACAGGGGCGAGCAGGTCAGCGGGTTTGGTTAAAACGGGTTCGCGGGTTGACCCGGCAACCCGTCGGGTCAACCCGAACCCGACCCGTTTTTTAAACGGGTCGATTTCTGGAACCCGACTCGTTTTGAAATCGGGTCGGGTCCAACCCGGATTTTTCGGGTCGGGTCCGGGTCGGGTTTTCGTGTCGTGTCAAATATTGACACCCCTAGCCCTGACCATGGTTGTCGTCGCACTCACCTCTTTTTTAATCAAAATGGGTCGACAAGTCAGGTCGGGTCTAGGTTGAAATACCTGACATGCTTGTAAAATCGGGTCGGGTTCGGGTTTGACCAACTTATGTCTGGTAAGTTCCGATTTGAACCCAAACTCGACCCATGACCCAATTATGACAACATTATATATATATATATATATATAATATATTATATATATGTGTGTGTGTGTGTGTGTGTGTGTGTGTGTGTGCGCGCGCGCGCGCGCGCAGCGGGCGTAATTTGAAAAACATCTTTCAATTATAGATTTTTTTCTAAAAGCAACCCGAAATTATAGTAAATTGAAAATGCAACTCTTTCTAAAAAAATATAGTAAGAAAGTTGAATCAAATAAAAAAAAATTTAGGTTGAAAGTTATTTTTTATTGTCATGCCTACTTTATGATAATAATTATAAGAAATCCACCTTTCAACTTTTCCTTAAAACAAAAATTATTGCACTCGTAATATCTTTCATAAAAATATTTTTCCTACAACAATTTCACAACTAACTATATAAAAGCTAAGTCCACCCCAAACAAATCCCAATTTCATTATTTAATTATTAAAGAGCTAATATATTTATTTTTTAAGATATCCTCCCATTTTAATCTTATTTTTAAAGATCAGTGAGAAATGAGATAGCTTCAAAGTATCAAATCTATTGATATCTATAAATAAATTGATGTAGGAGACAAAAAAAGTACTATCTTTAGAACAGAAAAAAAAAAAAAAAACTTGTAAATTCTCACATATGAGATTTATCTCATGGAAAATAAATATAATGCACTTTTTTATCAAATTTTTATTGTATTAAAACATTTAATTAAAAGATACTATTATTACATGGTTTTTATCATATATAATTATTGATGTGTCTATACTATTTTTTATAAATAATATATTTATAATATATGCAGCATATTTTAAAAATGTTATTCCGGAATAGTTTCACAAAGTCTTTATAATAATATGCAATCATCCAAAACAAATCTCTTTATTCAGAGAAATTATTACGTGCGGTCACCGGACGCCGTCCAGAGGCAAATCAGGATGTACCACATCACTTTTTGTTGTGTATCAGTGTTGTGTACATGAGTGACATGGTGCATCATGATTCGCCTCTAGATCGTTTGGTAACCGCGCGTGAAAATTTCTCCTTTATTTATAACAATTTGTACCGTGGCCTCGCTTAGTCTGCCAACACGAGCTTCGTTAAAGATTATAATTACGTATTAATGCATGTTAAAATTCTCATTTGACTAATCAAACTCTTAATTCCAAGAGTTAGTAACATGTCATAATCCAATATAAGCTAGCTAGCTAAAAAAAAGAAATCTATCTGTCCACAAACAATCAATTATCTAATTAGGCAATTACAGTCAAATAATATGAAGGCTAGCTATAATAAGACACCACCTAACCACATATTCTTTTATTTTTATTACAAAAAATATAAATATTAAATATTAAATATATATGCTAAATAATTAGGTGGAGATAATACATTTTTATTCTATATATGCATTTATCATTTTAAATAATTATTTTTTAATCACTCTAACTAATTTATAATTTTTCATTTAATTAGACTTTGATCGATAAGTTTAGTTCAAAGTCAGTTGCAACTTGGAAGGCTTTTGACACAATTTGCTCTAAGTTTCCGGCCGATTACGGTCTCCGGCCGACTACGGTCTCCGGCCGACTCCGGTCTCCTGCCGACTCCGGTCTCCTGCCGACTCCGGTCTCCTGCCGACTCCGGTCTCCTGCCGACTCCGGTCTCCTGCCGACCACGGTCCTTCAGGCCAAACAAACCTGTATATGTAACTCTTACCATGTAATGCAATCTATATGATGTACATTTGCTACATCAATCCAAGGCCTTCTCCTAAGGAAGGGCCTCATTTGTAATCGACTACAAATACTAGTGGATTCATTCAAACCGGGCCATGCCCCGTGGTTTTTCCCCCTTTTTCAGGGGTTTTCCACGTAAAAACTTTGGTGTCTCTTATGAATGCTACACCCTCTCACTTATCTGCTTGTGTGCTGGATCTTCGTACAATGCTAAGACGTTAAACTAAATATTTCTCTACCGCCGCGAATACTCCAGGACGCAACAATATATATAATACATTATTGAAATTTGGTGAAAAATTAGTTCATTTTCTCCAAATTCCTCTATGTATGTTAGTAGATATTACTCTGAATTCTTCTTTTCCAAAACTTTATTGTATAAACGAAATTTTATTCTTGATATTCCATTCTTCTCTAAATTTTTGCAGCTTGATCCATTCTGTCATCTATAAAGACAATGTTTCAATTACTCCACCAACAACATCCCTGTTAACAAAGACATCACCCCACTCAAAGTTAAGTGTTGTAGCTATTCCCTCCTGACTTAGGTTTCTCATGTCCATTGTAAAGAACATAATCAACAACTAACAAACTTTAGAAAATCGTCCTACTTAGCGGACTGGCAATTCTCAAGATTTTATGTGCTAATGATTTTGATAGATACTTAAATGGATCCAAACCTTGCCCCAAAAAAACAAGTTCTCACTACAAAAGGAACAATGACCATTAATCCTAGCTATAATCTATGGTTGCTAATCGACCAAAACTTGGTTGTCACACTATACTCCACCATCACCTCTTCTCTTTTACCTCGTATCCAAAATCTTGACTCCTATAATGAAATAGTCAATCATTGGTTGTAATCAACCAATCAATTGTGCATTAGCATTTAATAGAGGTTGTGGTAGGGGTCATCCCTGTAATAACTACTTCAACAGTAATTGAATCACTTGATGACTCAAATTAGATCTAATAAGATTTATAAGCTATTTAATATCATTAATATCTTGAAAAAAAAGTTTAAAGTCATGTTTATGTTAATTTAGTTTGAAAACAGAAAGCTTATAACTTAAAATTTGAATGAAAATGTGAAGGAGATGCCCTTAGGGGTGTTGTGGCACTAAAAAATGGGCACTGTTGAGTTGCCCACTTTATTTGTCAGCTCAGTGGTATTGTAAATTGAGCGCTACTATGCTAGGGAGTGAAACTGCGACGACAAACTCTTTATTTTTTGTTCTAAAAATCTCTATTGGGAGTGCTGCGATGCAAGGTTGGTGGCTTCGTAACATTATATCTTTGAATATACAAATCTATTTCATTTTTTTTAAATACGAGGATGTCATTAATTACATCAAGACCTTTAGCCCAATGACCAAATCCTATAATCTAGACTCTTCTAGTTGTGGCCACACATCACAGGTGGCATATCAATAAACTATACACCTTAAAAGCACATTTGGGGAGTAAACTCGATGAAATCGCTTATATAACTCAAACTAAAGGTTTCATACAACTTAAAAAGGAGTCCTTTCTCGTAGCCCTGATGTGCATGGAGATCATCAATCTGTAATACTAAACAAATAATTTGTCCAACACAAGGATATCTGATCCATATGTCCTAGTGAAGCATCATATTCTCTAACATCAAAGACTCATTGATTGATTGGGCGAAGGCCATCCAATAGGCCTTATCTTCTGAACATAAAAGTAAAGATGATGATACCCAAAGTCATATGGATCAAATATATTTGTGTTGGATGAGTTATTTGATCATCATTACTGATCTATAATCTCCATGCATGATAAGACAAAGTGGAAGGACTCTTTCTAAATATATTTCTCTAAGAAAATAAACAATTGACATATCTATTTTATTCAATTTATTATAAGACATACAAAGTTAAATTTCTCAATACATTTCTGCATGATAATCAAATCACTTTTTTTAAAAACACCCTTTAAATTTTAAATAAAAGTTGTTAAATATTATTGCGAGCTAGAGTATACGTGGCAGCAGACTCAGAATTTTACGTCTCAGCTTTGTACGAATATCCAACACACAAACAGAGAACACAAAAATTTTTAATTGAAAAATCCTGAAAATGAGAAAAACTACGGGGCTACGCCCAGTTGAAATGATTCAACTACTGTTTGAGTAGATTACAGTTGGCTGAATCGTTATTGATGGCTATCATATTACAATAATCAACCGTCTGGTTGAAATCTAGTGACAAACGGAGGTCAGGCTTAGGTTCGTTGACGTTTAGTAGGGCGGAAGTCCGGCGTCAATTGGTGGTCCAGCGAAAGTCTGGTGTCAGGTGGTGGTCTGACGGAAGTTCGGGCGTCAGATTGTGGTCCGACAAAAGTCTGACACCAAGCGGTGGTCCGGTAGAAGTCCAACATCAGGTGGGCTCCGATAGAAGTTCGGGCGTCAATTTGTGGTCTGGCGGAAGTCCGGGCATCAGTCGGAGGTCCGGTAGAAGTCTGGCGCCAGGCGATGGTTCGAACCTTCCAACAACGCTTCGGGTCTTTGATTTGGACTCATTTAGGCTCAGATTTAGTCAAATTTGGTGTCGTTAGGTTCATATTTTTGAGACGTTCAGTTCGGCTATAAGTTTGCTTAAATCGGAGTTTGGATGATCTCAATTTTAATTTTTAAAAATTCCAACTTGAATTTGCCTTGAGATTCGTGCCCAATCAAGATAATTTTTTGATGATGTACCAAACATTAATTTATAATTTTGAGTGTTCATTCACTCATTTACCATCTCATCTTAAGCATTAAAAAAATTAAAATTTAGCAATTTAATATCATATCTCGTTGTGCTGGTTTACCCAATTTAAGGGAATTTATTCACATTCGTGTAAATGTGCTCAGATCCGATAAGTCCTAACTGCCACGGGTCGGATCCTGACCGCATCAAACACTATTTGGATAGGATCTCATTCAAGTTTCTTCCAACTGTTTCTCTCCGCAGTGCTCGTTCAAGAATCCAAAACTCATCTCTTTGGCGCCTCTGCCGCTCCACCAATATCGAACGCAACCCTTAATCTGTTCCAGGTATTTTTCATCCATTCCGCTCCCTCGCGGTTTTCGCGCGCTGCTCTGCATTCTCCGATATATTTTTTTTAAAAGTTTGGATCTCCACCGTTGTGATCTTTCTGTGAGGTTAAAGAAGACTAGGGTTTCGAATCTGTTCCGCTTCTCTCTATTCTTGTGCGGAGCTCTGAATTGTGGTATGCGTTGCAAGACTTCGTTTTGGGGCTTTCTTGCGCTGGTCCACCGGCTGGTCGTTTCGCTAATTTGAGATTAGGGTTTATCAATTTTGATACTTTTCATGCATTTGGGTTTCTTTGTGTGGATTTGTTCGGCAGTGGCGCTACGGTATTAGTAGTGGATTGTTTTTCGAGTAAGGTGCACGAGAAATTGTTGTTCTTTGGGGGAAAAATGACTGTTTTCTGGTTTATTGGTGCTAATTTAAGATTTATTTCAGGTGCACTTGGAAACTGAAGCAGTAGAGGGGAAGAATATTTCTACTACTACTGCAGCAGCAGCAGCAGCAGCAGCGATGGATTCAAGCCCTGCTTCAAACAAAAATGTTGCTTTGTCCTTGAACCCAAACCTAAAATCAAATGCAAAGAGGAGAGAAGTGGTTGTTGTAGAGAGGACTTCGAAAACTAATGTGCTTCCTGACGGAGAATTGAATGGTGCGAATAATGGTAGTGTAATTTACAATGGGAAGGACCTGAACCATACATTGTGGGGAGAAACTGCTCTTGATAGGCCCAGAGATTTGGCACAGTTGAAGAAAGGAGTTATTGCAGCCTCCATTCATTCAAAGCATAGGAGATCTGTACATAGACATGCAAAGCCTATCTGGCAAACTGTTCTTAGCTCTATCACCAAGAATTTGCTGCTTCTTGCAGCTCTGCTGTATGTTGGGCAAGTAATTTGGCGATGGGCTGCCGGGGTTAACTATCCTTTATCAGCCTTGGATTTTGATAGCCGGATCTCAGAAGTGGAATCATCTTTAAAGAAAACAGCAAAAATGTTGCAAGTTCAGTTGGATGTTGTTGACAAGAAGATAGGGAGTGAGATTGGTATTGTGACAAGAGAACTTACAAAACAAATTGAAGAAAAAGGAACGCTACTTGAGAAGGAGCTAAATAACCTTGAAGCTAGAACTGATGATTTGGGCAACTCTTTCAGTCAGTTGAAAGATGCTGACCTTCTCTCAAAGGAAGAATTTGAGAAATACTGGAGGGAGTTGAAGAATAGAAATCTAGAGGATGCTAATAAAGATGCATACTTGGATCATATCCGGGCACTGGCAAAGGATGTTGTTGAGAAAGAAATTGAAAAACATGCTGCAGATGGTCTTGGTAGGGTAGATTATGCTTTAGCTTCTGGTGGAGCTAGGGTAGTAAAGCATTCAGAGCCCTATGTTGTTGGAAAAGCTAACAGTTGGCTCGCTGTCCCTAAAGGTAAAAATACCATTCATTCTAGTGCACAGAAAATGTTGCAGCCAAGTTTTGGTGAGCCAGGCCAGTGTTTCCCCTTGCAAGGAAATAGTGGGTTTGTGGAGGTTAGGTTAAGAACATGGATAATTCCTGATGCTATCACTCTAGAGCATGTCTCAAAGGTGAGCTTTTCTGTAACCATGTTTCATTTTTAAGTACTTTGGCATCTAGGTTAATTTTGCTTTAGTTTTGTGAAGATATCTGTGATTTTATTGTTTGAATACATCTTTTATGAGTTTATTTATAGGATTTATGCAAACAATCAAAGAGCGAGATGTTCGATGGAGTCATTCTATAGACATTATTGTTTATGAAAGTGATATATTTCTTTTTCATATCAGAAAGCCTCTTCTATCTACTTGAACTGTTGGATCATTGAATTAGTTGATAATTCACCCATCACCATCTTATTCATATTCTTGATTTTGATTCTCTTTGTTTTTGAGGGCATCTTAGGCATTTTTCTCGTGTTTATGTTTTTTTGTTTTGTTTTATTATTCTATCTTGGCTATAATTTAAATTTAAATTAATTTAATTTAATTTAAATATAATTTAATTTTTGTTTTGTGCCATATCTCATGATTATATTTTTTGTCCTTTAAAAATAAGATTCTTATAAATTTTGTTCCAGAGGTTCTCTTTATGATGGGTTGAATCAAAATTACATATTTGTATTCCGTTATAAGAAGGCTTTTCAATCCTGCTTAAAGTTAGTCAAATACTGTATTGGTGTTATCTTTTTCAAAACCTTTGTGGAATGTATTGTTGAACAAGCAAGCATGAGCAGTTTATGAGAGAGAAAGCTAATTCTTGTGATAAGAGGAGCATTGAAGGTCAACGTAGAAGCTGATGAGAGGGAATTGCAATACCAAACTCGAAGCATATTATTTGCCTTATGTACACACCATAGTTAATTTTGTTTTTTTTTTGGTCCAGGAATTAAAAATTCTCTTTGTTGATGTGTTTGGTTTTGGCATTCTAGGAGAACGCATGGATTGAGAGATTAAAAATCATGTACAAAATGATTTGGTTCGTTAAACATATATTTTAATTTTTAAGTTCAGGAATTAGAAGTTCTATATTACCACCATAGTTAATTTTTTATTTTATTTTCTTAAGTTCAGGAATTAACAAATTCTTAAACTTGATGAGTTAGGTTTTGGTATTCTAGAGGAAGCATTGATTGAGAGATAAAAAATCATGTAGAAAATGAATTGGTTTGTCCGACTTATTTAACCATGGGTAGGAAGGATCTGAACGCCTTATGCAATCAGCTAAAATACTATGGTTTTGAATCATTTCTTAGAACTATTACATCCCGGTATGAAAAGGGAGGGGTTTGAGTGAATGAATATGGCATGCCTATTAAGGCAAAAAGACACCTTTATGCCTTTAAGGCTTTAAGTTACTTTTGGCCAGTGATTGTGGAGTAGGGTGTGTGTGTAGGGTTGATAGATGGAGAGCTACTTAGGGGAAAATGATATAATAGTGCATGGAGCTCCCCCTAATGTAGGGTTTGAAGGTGGTGAAAAAGAAGAGGAGGGAAAATCTTTCCAAAAATAAGAAGTGAATTAGGAAAGAAAAAGTAGATTAGGAATTGGGAAAATTCGGCCCACAGGATACGGAAACTAATTTGAATTATTTCTAAATGGAATTAACAGGCAATTACAGAATACACCTGATTTTGCTCATATGATGGCCAGCGGCATTCATGGACCTGGGAGGATTCAATGGGAGCAATAAAAGCTTCTTAATTTGGGTTTGAAATAAGGAAAGAAATATTCTCAATCCAATTGAATTGTTAATTCAAATTAAATCAACAAATAGAAACTTTCCTTAAATAGTTGAGTCATTTAAGAAAGATTTTGAAATTCGAATTCAGAAAAATTGAATTTCAAAACTATTCCCAAATTAGCCTACACCAAATTAGGAAACTGTATGAGGGGAGTTGGCTGGATTGTGGCCGGTGGTTAGATTCTGTAGCCGGCGGCTGGCTCAGGTGGGAACTTGGCCGTGGGATGATGTGGGGGAGTAGGGGCTCGGGTAAAGTTGCGAATCCGGCGGTAAGGCGAAGTGGGGAATATGTGTGGAGCTCGGTTGGAAGGAGACGATGGCTTGGAGATGGAGAAGGGTTTGGGTGTAATGGTGTCCGATGGTGGTGGTGGAAGGAGGAAATACAAAAGATAAAGAAAGACCACGAACCCGGCCGTCTCCAAGGTTGGTGGGTGATCCGATCTCCCTCTCCTAGGGATTTTTCCAAAGTTCTCTCCTAGAACTCTCAAACGCTCTCAAAACATGCAAGTGCAAGAAATTTTTCATAATCATTCATTCCTTAGCTCAAAACAAAGGAAATGAGGCTATAAATAGCCGGGTACAAAGACTCAAGAAAATAAAAGACCAACTTGCCCTTTGGGCTTACATGCGACCACTCCCATGAAAGGGGTACAAAGGGAAATAATAACGACACCTAAGCAAATAAGAAAATGCATAAATAAAATAAAATACAATCATGACTCAGAAATACAAGGACTCGATCGTGGCCGTAGATCGGCGGCCACGTCTTTGATAAACCTTCCACGCTGATCTGATGTCCCCATCAAGAATGAAGTATAGTAGTTCTAGAAAGGGAGAGAGTTGTAGTGTTTATGGTGGAGAAAGGTGGTAGCCAATATTAGGCTTTTATGGCATATATGGAGGCAATAATAGATATCATTGCGTGGCATTTGTGGGTGCACATGGGAGTATAATGGGAAGCGGGTTTGTGTGAGGTTGTTAATAGAGGAAATGATGAGCTAAGGTTTGGTTTTGGATGAATGAATAAGGTATATTTAGGCACGATAAAGTTTTCAGGCTCAAAATTGCTTTAATATGGTTATTTTGACATTTGTGGAGACGATAATAAATGTCTTTGAGTGATGCTTGTGGATGCAATTGGGGCTATAATGGGCTTGTGAGGGGTTGCTAATGGAGGGAATGCAGATGGTAGGGTTTGTTTTTGGGTGAATGAATAAAGTATGTTTAGGCATGTAAAGCCGTTGGCCCGTTGAGGCTCAAAATTACCTTAGAAATGAGATGCCATCCTTTCTTAAATGAGGTATTAATTAGGAAAAAAAATAAATATAATTATAATGGATAATTTCTTAGGCAACCTTAAAAGTTAAACTTTATGTCATATCCAACATAAAATGCTATGGTTGTGTTTATCAATAAGTTTAGAAACGTATGATAATTTTCATATTTTTATTTAGAAATAACAATAAGATAATTCATTATATACACAAATAATCTAAGTTTTAAATATTGATCATTTACTATAGTTAGAAATAGCTTTGGAGTGACCAAGAGTTCTCTATTTCAACATGATTACTTTAACTATAAACATTAAGTCTACGTTTTCTATATTAATTATGGAAATATTTCATATTTATATTGAAAATAAGTTGCCTTGGTGCCTGTTTTTCAGATGTGGCATGTTAAATAGGTGAGATACTTGTTGAAATAAATAGTAATAACAATGAAAAAAAAAAGTTGGAGATAGGATTTGTAGTACGATGACTAGGATTATACGATATGCAATTATACTAGCATGATTTTGTAATTATTAATTAATAATGTTATAAGATAAAGTGATACCTATATGTAATAGTTTTATGTATTTTTAATCTATTAATAGGGTTGAATCTATTATGCAATAATTGAATATTTTGGAGACTTAAAGGTAAGTTTAATTGAATGTAATTAGGCTATCTATATTGTATGGATTTAAATGTTAAATAGAAAAATCATTGATAACTTGAGCATAAAAAAAAATAGAGTGTTAAGATAAATGTGTGCTAAAATGAGGAAAGAAAGATTGAGGAAAATCATTATATTAGAGGGATTGTGGGAGTAGCATCTATAGAGGTAAGGCATCGGGGAATATATTTTAGGTGGTTTGGACTTGTAAAATGTATGGTAGAAAATGCACGAATATTTTGAATGGATAAAATTTGTATTAAGGAATCATAAAACAAGGTAAGGTAGGTCAAAGATAACATTTGCAAAAAAAATTATTGCAAAAAGCTCCTAGTGTATCATTGAGTAGAAATGGTAGAAGTAGGAGAATTCATGATGTCAATCTCAAAATAGTTGTGATAAAGCTAATGATGATGATGATGATTAAATAGACATTTCATATTATGTTAATAACTAAGGGTAAACAATCAGTGTAATATTTATAAATTAGTTGATAATATTTAATGCACATAGTGATTTGTTTTCTTTTGTAATTAAGCAAATACCACTACAAAATTTGGATTGCAAAACTTGCATGTAAAAGGAACCTTGTGATTTGGAGAATTTGATTTGTTTCTTTATGTAAGAATAATAAATATTGACAATAACAACAACATCAAGCCTTTATCCTACTACGTGGGGTCGCCTACATGAATCCTTTTTCTCAATTGTGTCAATCTTAAAAGTTTAATTCTCATTTAAATCTAAAAAAGAAAGGTCATTTTTAATATTTTCTAACCAAATCTTTTTATCTTATGCATCTACTTTCCTAACTGGGTCATCAGAAAACCGTTTTATATGACCAAACCATCTAAGACAACTCTCTCTAATATTATCTTCACAGGAACTACTCCAACCTTTGACAGATTAAAACAAATTACTTGTAGAGTAATTTGACAGATTAAAAAAAATTCTAATTTGAAATTACTTGTACAGTAAATCATGTTATTAGAGTGCTAATCTAAAGCCTAAGAATTTTGTTGAACTACTATTTTAATTTAAACTAAATATGAACTTATCATTTTGTTAATTTGTTGTTTATGTGTAAATATAAAAGAATTTTATTATTATTATTATTGAAATGTACATGATAAGTTCGGTGATGTGTACCATGCCCTTCCATGCATGAAGATAACATCGACATGACACATATTGGTGGGAATAGCAACCCGAACTCTTAGTTTGGGGTGTTTGCAGTGGGGTATTATGGTCAAACAAATAAAATTAAGAACAAGATGGAAATTGATGGTGGGTGAAGGAAAGGAAACCTAGGGATGGCGGTAATGTGCATAAGAAAATAATTTTCAAGTGAGGATTTCTTAAAACAAGTTTTCTATCTCATACATGTTGCTTCCTTAAGTACTCTGATAATGAGTTAGACTCTTAATTTTATAGCAGAACCTTCTTTGGGATAAATGATTAGTATTAAATACTGAATTTTGATTCATTCGGTTGTTTGAAAAGGTATTGTTTGCATTTTGGAATTTATTTAGTATTTATGTTAAAGGGACAGCTAATTAGTCGGCCTTCATGATGGGATGAATTGATATGCAGAATATCAAGTATCTCATCTTTATATGCACTTGAGGAGAAGGTATGTTTTGATTAGCAATGCTGATATACTACCTTCAATTACGATGTGGAAAAGCAATTTATGCATTTATGCAATTAATGCTTATTCAATCTTGTTGGAATTTGAGTTGGGATTGTAATTTATATAGAAAGAGGGACTTAGAGATGATCGCTTGTTAATTTTTTTGATAGAACTTTATGTAGGTAATAAATGAGTGTAGGTGCATAAGAAATTTAGCTCTGATTTCCTTTAATTAGGGACACTTACGATTTTATTGAGGAAATCTGAGGATGGGAAAATTTTGGGTCAGGTTAAGTTTTAATGCTGTTAGATTTTCTTTGAGATTGCTGCAAATAATAGTGAATCAAACAAACTTGTATTGCACTACTCTTGAAGCAAATTAAACGGTTTTGAGACTCATCCTTATCAAAAAATTTGATCAAGATATTCTTTTTTTTTTCAAAATTAGGTTGATAGCTATATGGAGTTTGTAATTTCATTTTCGTTGAAATTGATTAACACCATTTAATTTAACCAATACTATTAAGAATTTCGTTGTGACTTTTAAGCAAATGAGGGAGATCTTCATTTGAGTTAATTATACTTTTATATGAAGGATTATAATATGAGAAAAAGCACTTTATAACATTACAGAATTTGCTTTATAATATGTTTTGGTGTTTGGTACCCATTCATGCTTTGTTAGTTGCAAACATTTTTTTTTTATTTGCATTGTTTTTGCGGGAGTATGAATCAGATCTTGCAAAAGATCTTTGTTAACCGATTGGCATTCTGATAGGAAGTGATTGCAGAAATCCAATTCTCCTTGAAATTGAATTTCAGCAATCCAAATACAATCTCCAAGGTTTTTTGTAGAAAGATGAAGGAAAAAAACTCTCTTCAATTGATGAAATAGGGAAGGAAACGAACAAAATTTAATGGATTCCCAATTGGAGAGGAGGATCCGGCTCTCCCAAATCTCTAGCTGAGAGCCCAAAACTTCCTAAGAACATTCTGAATTTCAGCAAACTCAAGATAAAATCTAATCCCAGGTTAAACAATATATTTAAAGCATACAAAATATTATTAATGCCAAAACAGCCCTCATAATTTGAATTTCCATCCTAATCCCTTCTTGAAGTTCCTCCTAATTGCTGACCTTATTTGTTGTTGGACTCTGGCCCCAACTCAATTAAACAGGCGCATATTCCATCTAAATAAGCGGAAAGCCTGTTCTGCGTCTAACACATTCCTCGATAAAGATTGAAATGATATAGAATGATTCACTAAAGTTTGACTCATGTTATTTTGTTCATTTGAGCTACCAAGGTATTAAGACAAAACTTGTTATGTGACCATGTGATTTAGGATATTTTCATTGTTTGATGAATCATGTTTTGTTATGGGTTGCTGGGCTCGAGGTTTGTGGATTTGACAAATTCTTATTTATGGGTTAGTGGTCTATCAGGTTTATTCTCCCTGACATTGGGGGTAATGCATCATTATCTGATGAGGGTTTGTGCATGTCTAGTACTCCAACATTGTATTATTATTATTATTATTGAGGTTGATGGTTCCAAATTTGTGGTTGATGGGCCCATGGTTTGGATAGAGTTAACTAACTTCTATTTGTCGGCAGATCAACCTTCTCTCTCTCTCTCTCTCTCTCTCTCTCTCTCTCTCTATATATATATATATATATATATATATATATATATATAACTTTGCATGTTTGTATATTGTTCTAAGTGTATTAGTATGAGTTTAGAGCTGCTGAACAACTATGTATGTACATACCGACCTGCAGGGGCATAACTATATTGATAATTGTTTGAGTTGTGTAGAAATAATAATGTATTTGCATAAGATTTGTAAGGGTAGCACCATGGTAATAATTAACCGACTCCTTGTGTATGTTCTGTGTTTAAAAGTAAATAAGGGATCTACAGTTTAAATTGTTTGCTCTGAAGGAAAGAGGGTAAAAGTTATGAACCAGATTTGTTCTTTTGAGTTGCACATAATCCTTCGTTTAATTATTACAATAATATTTTCAGTTCAATTTCATTTGAGATTTTGAGGACATTGCTTTAAAATAGTTGTAGTAATTTAGCTGTGTTACTAAATGAGTTAGAAATGATCTTTCTTTATTAGATTTAAATGAGAATTTGACTTTTAACATGACATAATGGCAAAAAAGGATTAATGTAGCTGACCTCACGTAGTGGGACAAAAGTTTGATGTTGTTGTTGTTGTACTAAATGAGTTTGATCGATTTGATTGGGGTTTGATTCCTATGACCTCAAATCTTTTCAATGAATAATTAGCTTGTGTTAAGCTTGTTATGATTTTATTCTATATTGAGCCCTTGTTAGATCAAACAATTTTGCTTTAATATTATTATTATTTAGTTTTGCTTTAACATGTTTCCGCTAGAGTTTCATTTTTTCTGATGCTGCTGAAACATTTTAATATACTACTTTTTTTTTGTTTTTTCATATTTTCTTGCATTCTGTTCCATGCAAGTATAATTGTTTCTTGACATGAAGTAAAATCTATCATTCCCACTTCTTTCTTCTTCCTCTTTTGTCAAGTTAAAATGGCTCTCTAATAGAAAATTTTCAAATTTAAAAAATTTTAATACTAGAAAGTCGTTTTAGAAAGCAAGAAGGAAGCCGTCCCAAATGAAGCTTATTAAAAAAGAGTAGTGGATAGATGTTCCAAGCATGATAGCAGGACAGGTTTTTCCTCATTTTTAGTTAATATTAAGGGTTAACTCATCTTATTGTACTTGATGGTGTGCTATCATAACGCCAACACTCAAACTTTGCTTTCCATTTTTTAAGAGCTACTTGTTTTCTCTGCTCTGCTCATGAAGTTGCTGATTTGGTTTTGCTTGTAATCTTTCTGTGCAGAGTGTCGCGTATGACAGGTCAAGTGCTCCCAAGGATTGTCGAGTCTCCGGATGGTTCGAGGGACCTGAAGCTGATTCATCCACCACAGCTGAGAAGATTTTACTTGCTGAGTTCTCCTATGATCTTGATAAGAGCAATGTGCAGACCTTTCCTATCTCTTTGGCTGATTCGAACACCATCAACATGGTTAGGCTGGACTTCACCTCCAACCATGGCAGCTCATCCCTCACCTGTATTTACCGATTCCGGGTGCACGGCTTCGATCCAAGCTCTCTCGCCATGGCCACGGAACCTTGAATGATAGAGAAAGAGAGAGAGAGAGAGCAGCATTTTGCATTTTTCCTTTTTTTTTTGGGTTCTTATATAGTTTCATCAGATGCCAGTCTTCAGGCTTTTGGTTGTAGAATCTCCAGTTATCTTCTTAATACACTTTTGTAGTTAAAAAGTTTTGGAGGGTGACACATTGGAATTGGTATTGTATCATTTCGTCCTTTGTTATTTCCTCTCTTTTAGTAAATAGTTTTTTTGAACTATCCATCAGGCTTAAATGGTAAATATGTAGAGGTGAATTGAAAGGATTTACATATATGAAATCTACTCGACCTGTGATTGCTTATGATTCAGTACCATGAAAAGTAATTTAATGGCAATTGAATAGAAAAAATCTGTCAAATATCATCTTCTCAGTAAGAAAAATTTTCTTTTCCTACCTATTTTGATGTTTAAGAGCTATTGATAATCTTAATAAAAGTAATACCAATCAGGACAATTAGCATTAAAGGTAATTAGGGAGTAGCTGAAGAGTTTTGATATGACAATCATATTATAAGTTAAACTGTGTTAATTAGGCTTTTATGTACATTAGTGAGGCCTTATGGTCTGTGGCATGAGCAAATTTTTTGTTTAATTTTTTTGTGATGTGCTTGTTCTCTTTTGAAATGTGTAAAGATTTAAGCACTAGGTACACCCCTAATAGTCACTGCACACTATTAGGGGTGGAACTGGTCTCTATTTTGAGGATGAACAAAATATGATTGAGACATGTATAAATTTATGAGTGAAATTGAAAAAAAATAAATTTCTAAGAATTTTGAGCAAATGGATTTATTTAAGGGTAGGGGTGCAGCAATTGCCCACCTTAAGTTCTTTATAGGTCTGACCTTACAAGAGAGTTTGGTGAGCTTAGAATTTTGATAAATATTGTCTCCCTTAACTAATCATGTCTAGAGGTGTCAATATTTGACATGACCTAAAACCCGACTTAAACCCAACCCAAAAATTCATAGTTAGGGTCAACCCATTTCATAGACGGGTCGGATATGGGTCAACCCGCTAACTCGAAGTTGACCCAGATCAACTCGCACAGGCGTACATCAGTCCTCTTTTTCTCCTCTCCTGCGTTCCGGTTTGACAATTCTGCCTGCAAGCCCTAACCAGCTAACTTGTCACACCAGCGTGAGTCTACAAGTCCAGCCTGGCCATCTCCTGGGATGTGACACCGCAACTGGCGATGGCCTAGGGTTTGCTTTTCCTCTTCTCTCGCAGTCCCCGATCACCGACCCGCAACCGTTCAACGACTTGTTCGCCTCCTTCAACGACGTTCCTTCATGTTGGCTCAGAAATCACGACGACTCATGGTTCTTTAGTTGGATCGGAAGTATCGATGACGACGCCGACATGAGGGAGCTTGCTCATTGCGAATGTTAGGCGTTTCATGCCAAGTCAGGTTAAACCGAAAACTTAACGAGTCAGGTCTGCATTGACATGTCTGACCAGTCTGCAAAAACGTATCGGGTTCGAGTCATGTCATCTAGTGGCGGATCAATATCGAGTTCAACCTGAATCTGACCCACAATCCAATTTTGACACCCCTAATCAAGTTTATAAATTTACTTGCCTATTCATTCAAAAAACTTAAAATTTAATATGTTAAAAAGTAATCATAATTTTAGACCTAGCTAGTAAATAGTTATTTTTCATCACTATAGGATTAAATGCATAATTTACAGGTAACTACCTTGACAATCACCTTACCAACTTTTTTTATTATTATATAAGTTGTGATGCATAGCTTATGGGGATTATCCTCGCAAATATTTGTGTATATCTCTCATCATCGCCAAGTTAAGTCATTGCATGTCAATTCAACATTATGCTTCTTCAATCGCTCGAATGAGATTAATAAAAAGGCATTTAACATAGTTGATCGAGTTTCAAATAAGACAACTTATTTTTTCACCATATTTTTAAGAGTGCTTTGAATATTTGCCTATAGAAAAATTAGCTTATATGCATAAAATGTAAAAAAGCTATGGATTATGCATGGGAGAGGTTCTTGATGCAGTTATACAAATTGATTACTCATCTCCTTCTAAATATATAAATTAGGCATTCAATGAATTTAAAGTGGGCTTTTGAGTAAGACTCTTAGGTTATTTCTCTATTCATTGATTGCAAAAATAGTATGCATCTTGCATGTATTATATTCTTAAGCTTCTTCTTCTTGATTACCATATTCTAAGGTTAAAAATTCAATGATAAAATTAATACCCAGTTGAACTGTTACATATAATACTGTGTGTGGTCAAAATGCACTGTCTCAAACTTAATGACTCAATGAGTTTGATAAATCATTTCGTGAGTGCCCTTGAGATATTTAATCTATGCTATACTTATCAAAGCAGTGCATTGGTCACAATTTTACTTTCATGAGATTGAAAATATGATTTAGTCTACTTTTAATTTTCATAAGCATGATGACCAATTATATATGATTTTAGTCATCTTGCGATTTTCGTAGGCATGATAACCAATTTATTTAGTGCATGATAATTGAGCTTGGCTTCATTAGGGATTTTACTAAAGTTATATGCATGGTGCTTCTTCTTACCTACTTCTTGGTCCAAAATTGAACTAGCATTACTAAAGACTATATCTTCTCCTTATCTGAAACATGTGAGGATTAGAGTGGTAATAAAGAAGCTTGATGTTCATTGTTCCAACTAAAGTAGTTGGACTTTGAGAGGGCCCTAAAGAGTGGAGCATTGTTTTTCGTGGCTAAGAGATAAATACTAAATATTCTCATGATGGTAAGCATGGAAATAAACTTGTGCAGTTAAATAAATTTGAGTGACATTATTTGTAGTGTCGCCTTAACAAGCTGGGAATAGAAAATACCTTATCTTAAGGTGCTGATGTGAAATTTATCAGTGACTGCATCTTTTTGGATAAGATTGAGATGAGAATTTTAACATTATATGATATCTCTTTATGTAGTGACTACATTTTTTGAGGAAAACTTAGATGCAAGATGGCAAGTGGAAAATATGGGGAAAAAACTTTTTTGAGAATGTGTTTTCTAAATGTGTATTGTTTGTTGATATTGCTTAGTTATTAATCCCCCAAATAGCCTCTAAGGTTACATAAGCCCTAGTATATCTCTCTCTAGGAAACCTACAAGAGCCTTCGAATAATAAGTAATTCTTAGTGCTCATTTTCATACTTTCCATAAATATCAATTAAAAATGATGTTCACAAAACTTTGGGTGTCAATTAAAATGTGGAGAACTTTTTAATAATTTATAATAGTCACGACAAAGATTGCATTATCATATATATTCCTATATGATGAGAAATCATTGTTAGTGATTAAGTAGATGAGTGCACTTCAAACTGTGTAGGCCTCTTTAAGCTTTTACATTGGACTTTTTTTGTTCTAGCTCCCCCATTTATAGTTACGATATCAATAATTTTGATAGTTCCACTGGACATCACCTCAGGTTACTTGTCGACATGACACTTAGGTAGAAAAATCTTCAAATGCCCCTCCTTTATCAACTTCTAAGTGGAGCCTTGGGCACTTTACAATCTTTAGTATTTTGATAGTGATTGCTATGATATGAAATGAACTTAGAACTATCTATTCATTTATATAACTTTATTATAGGGTTGGGCCACATAAAGTATTTTCAACTTTAAGTTTGTGTCATGATTCGATTAGTTCACAGTTAAAATGTAGCAAATAATCATTATAATACTTTTTATTAGGTTTTAAGAACTAGTGATTCTTGAGACTAATGTGTTGCACTATTTGAAGTAGCATTCTTGATGCAATAAAGTAAACCTCTTATTATTATTCTCTAAATAAGATGGAATGACACCTCTAATAAAGTTGCTGTCCTTATGGTTTCTCTTCCCAAATAACTAAAGTTTATGACAAACAATTCAAATTATCTAATGAGTAACAAATTCTTATGTATTCACAAACATTGCTACATTTTAAATGTATCTTTCACGATATTAGGAGGTTCTTATAACTAATAATTTAAAATTGATGGGTTGCATACTCAAGAAAAATGTAGCTTTGCCTTTGAATTTATCGCACTAGTTTCTTTAGGAGTTGCTTCATTAATAAGCCTCGAACTCTCTCAAAAATTTAACTTCATTTTGCTCCATAAAAATCATAGACTAAGTGGGCTTCACTGACCTCTTGGATGTTAAAATTTGAGACAAGAAAATGTGAACTAACATTTTAAAGACCTCTTATTAGGCAATGAAAATAAATTTAATTACTCAAGGGAATAATCCTTATTTACTGGGGCGAAGATTCAACACTTGATTATGCCTAATATGTCATACTACGACAAAACCTTCATAAAGGTAATTAGAAGAATTTGTGATACCTTTATTTGACTCAAGTTGTGGAGACATTAGCTCTAACAGAATGACATTTTCTTAAAATTTTAGCATGAACATAGAGCGAAGCACAATACTTCTTACAAAAGAAAGAGGATAACAAATATCATTGCTCATAGTTCTTTTTCCCTTGTCTTGAGGGTGAACATATTACAATGTGTTGGAATCATATACTAATTAAGTTGCTGATGGATATCTTCGAATCAGGTCTGAAGTTGTTCGTGTATGAGAAATGTCATTTCCTTAGTAAGTTATAATCAACTTTCTTTAAAATGGCCAAAAGACTACAAATAAAAAAATAATTGATAATTATTATGCCAATAACTCAAATTTATTATTCTAAAAATAAAATGTCATGTAAATAAATAAGAAATGTCAATGAGAAAAAATAATATTATTTTTGAAAAATCCACATTACTTAATTTAATGTTTTTATCAAAATAAATATAAATATTATTAATTTATTAGATTTATTTTAAAATGAATAGTATTTAAATAAATTAATAAAAATTTTATAATGCGCTTTACCTTAAAGTTAAAAAAAAAAAAAAGAACTGTACCCTTAAAAAGTAATTTATCGCTTTGCTCTCAAGTTGGTTCCATTACTGGAAAGCAAAGGTGAAATTTTTCATAACGCGACTCTTTCGGCACAAAATTCCGCAACTTTTCCGGCGATACAGTCAGCGGCCTTGATCGCCTTTTTTCCGCCACAGTAGCAGCTGTGATCCACCGCCGCTGCTTTACCACTCGAGATTTTTCAGAAATCGAAACCCCTGCAACTTTCAACCATTAAAAATACTCTGATAGCAGCGTGAAGCCGAAGAAGAGAAACTCTAATACGGTGATGGGAGTCATGGAGCTCTACTCGACTGTTGCAGAGACGATTTACTCTTACACGGGGCTTTCTCCGGTTGCCTTCTTTACGATCCTTTCGCTCATGGTTGGGATATACCACATGGTCTGCGGGATGTTCGTCTCGCCGGAGGTGGAGGCGGCAGCGGCGACAAGGAGGTCGGTGCAGCCAGAGCCTGAGTTACCTCCCGAGCCTGTTGAGATTGGGGAGGTGACGATCGAGGAGCTGAGGGCTTACGACGGATCGGATCCCAAGAAACCTCTTCTGATGGCGATTAAAGGGAATATCTTCGATGTTTCGAGATCCAGGTACATGTTGTTGTGTCCGGTTTTTTGTAAGGTGAAAAGTTTTATTTGATTTACGATTTTAGTTAGATTGTCTGCATAGGAGCTGCGAGTTTTCTCATTATGGAGGGTTAGATTGATTGGTATGAAGTACTTATATTCAGTGAATAATGTTCATAAAGAATAAAAAAAGGGGATATGTTGGCAAAGTGCTTAGCATAGCAGTTAACGTCATTGTGAGAATTGCGCATTTGTTAATGTGAAGGCATGAAGTAAAGCTTAAGATATAGTACTTACCTACCAGGACACAAGTCAACTAATAAACAATTGCTCAACCATAAATAATCTTGTTAAGTGTTGTTGACTATTTGTCATGATTTGAGAAGCTCGTGCTTATGTATGAAATTTGAGTTTTTTTTTTTTTAATTGTCCTTATGTTTGTCAATGGATTAAGATCTGATGTAAATCTAGTCGCTGTCTACTTATGTTCTGGACTTTATTATGGTAGAAACTTATGGGTGAGCATTGAACATGGGGGGACTTCTTAAATTGATGTATCCCGAGGACTTCTAAATCTTTTGACATTGAATTTGAAGCAAGCTTATCTTCTACCCAATACCATTATAGTCATAGACGTAGAAGTTAAATTGCTTCTTTTTCTGCTCAATGCACTTCAGTGGAAAAGGAACTTAAACAAACAACAAATGAAGCCCCAATATATGTTGTTATTAAAATGAATTGATTTTAGATGTCCAAGATGCTGATGTGTATGCTATTCTGTCTATCACTCTTGATCCCAATGAATGTCAGGTAACCAATATCTTCCATATAGGTAATAATGAGAAGACTTGACCTGATAAGTATGACATGATATTTACTAGATTTCAAGTTAATGATTATACTTTTAAGAAACATAAAGTGAACTTTGTTTGTCACTGATTGTCCCTTAATGAAGACTTGTTCTCTTAAAAGGAATTCTTTGTTTGAAAGGAATTGCTGTTATGCCAAAAAACTTCACTTCCTTAGTTGCATGCTATGTTGCTTAGATTAGTCTTTCACGCACAGTTTGGTGGATGATGCTGTGAATCATTGTAAGTGTCTTTGGGGCGTCAATTGGTGGGCCGAGGAGGTTGCTGATAAGATTTTTGATAGTTAAGTTTTGTTTTGAAGATCAAACAACAAACTGGAGGTACCAATATTATAGTGAAATAAAGACAACAATATAAAAGTTACAATACATGTTTAGGGAATGATGAATGGTTTCTAAGGAACTAATCTACAAAAACTAGGAATTGATATGTTCAAGATATCAAAAGGAGAAGGGCTAAAATATGTGAAAAGATGAGCATAAGAATCCGAAAGGTGGTAAAGCTAGGGTCATGCAACCTAAGAAACTCAGGATGTCTAGAAGGAGCCTAAATCAATGTTTGACTTTATATTTGAGATAATAATTTTATTTAGACTATGTTATAGTTAGATTATTTTAATTCTACTACGATGGTGACTATGTCATTGGAGAATTGCTCAGAAAATGAAATTAGACATTATACAGTGATGCAAGCCTCAAACTTAATATATGGCAAATAATTAATAGTCTACTTGGGCTTGAACTTCTACCAAGACTAACGCGAACGAATTCGATGTGACTTATTACTTGAACGTCACTAGAGGTTAAGAAAACCCGACATATGGTCGTATAATCTCTGCTTTGAACGAACAAATATCTAGACCAACTTGGGCATGTTAAAATCATGATGTTGAGTCTCTATATAATTGCATGATAAGGTCGGTCTTAATTTCAAGAATATGACTTACAATCTAGCCACTAAAACATAGGCTACCCGATCATAAAATTTATGATATGAGATAAGACTATTTAAATTTTATTTAGTTATATGATCCTTAATATGAGATGGAAAATAAACCTAATATGTAAGCTCATTGAGCTTGTATATGTGTATATTTGTTTCATATATTTATCAATATCTATCAAGCACAACTTCAATAGGCAAGACAATCAGTCAAATACTGACTACACATTTATTGTCCATGTTAGAATTCATAGAATTTGAGAAGGGTAAAAATACCTTCTACTTATTATACAAAATTATCCCTATTTATAGATCTATACAATATGTCTTAATAAAGAAATAAATAACTTCTAATTGATACATAATTGCCTCAATATAATCCTTCCTAATTCAGCTACCCAAATATAGAAGGATATTGGCGTGATCCAGGTGAGCCTCCCACGGATTCTCATCCTGACCGTGGGATCAAATGCCAAGGGATGACTGAGATTTTGACAGTCCATGAAAGTGTTATGGTTACTTATTTTGAAAGAGGTAGCTTAGATAGAAGTCATGCATTAGACTTTATTGAAAATCAATCACTTTTGATTAATTTTAACTTATTTAAATTTTAGGTAAAATATTTGAAATTTTAAGAGCCTATAAAAATCTAAGAAAGAGCATTTAATTTCTAGTGCACACTCAAGTAAAATAGATATAACAAATTGCAAGAAAAATTCAAGTGCAGTTGCATTTTATATTACACCACGGAAAAAGAAAAGAACAAGGCAATTTGAATCTCCCATATATATAATCCAATCCAATGATCCATATGTTAAATATATAACATGGGGGTCTTTATAGGACTCCATCTTGTTCCATGCTTTTTGAATCATCCTACATGTCCGCATTGCTTTTCTAGCCTAAATATACAACAACAGTAGCAACATCAAGCCTTTATCCGACTATGTGGGGTCGGATACATGAATCTTTTTTCTCCATTGTTTCCATTGTTAACTATTAAGAGTCAAATTCTCATTTAAATCTAATAAAGAAAGGTCAATTATAATATTTTCTAACCAAGTTTTCTTAGGTCTACCTCTATCTTTCTTAACATAAGCCAAATCTAATATATCTACTCTCCTAATCGGATTGGAAGGACGCCGTTTTAAAACCATCTAAGGCAACTCTCTCTAATTTTATCTATCACTAGAGCTACTCCAACCTTTTCACGTATATGCTCGTTTCGTATCCTGTCTCTAAGAGTAAAGCCACTCATCCACCCAAGCATCCTCATTTCTGCAACATTTAACTTATTATTATGTTTCTCTTTTAATAGCCAATATTCTGCGCCATAAAGCATTGCAGGTTTCACCACCATCTTATAGGATTTTCCCTGAAGTTTGAGGGATACTTTTCTATCGTACAACAAACCCGATGCATTCCTCCACTTCAACCATCCACCTTGAATTCTACTTATAATATCCCATCTATTTCACCATCACTCTGGACAATAGACCCAAGATATCTCAAACCTTAAAAGGGTACCAGACAATAAACATTGCAAGGAGAAAAATACCATAATTACAATCAAACAACATTGCCAAACTATTAGTACATCACTTAATAAGTGACTAAGAGTGCAATCTTAGCTACACCCTAATCCTTAGAATGCATAGGGATATAGCTTTCACAACATCTAGTGTGTGTTAAGTTGTTAATATGGTTAGTTTAATCTAAATGTGATGTTTAAGTTATAAGTTTGATTATAATGCATTTAAGTTTATTATCAAAAGAATTATTTCAATTTAATTTATTAATAATTTGAATTGTTTGTTAATATATTCTATAATTTATGGGTTCCACCATTAATAATTACAAAAAATCAAAGAGTGATGATCACAACCCACTCTAAGATAGGCCATGTCATCACAGGTCTCATAACATATGTTCTAGAGAGTGTATAATGTCTTCAAGAACATGGAGATGGGATAACCCATCTTTTAGTTCTATATTCTAGATCTAAGGGTTATGATAATTTATTCACGGAATGAAGGGTAATTTATTCTAAGATCCTAAAACCCAAAGCTAAGGGTCAAGGATTTTAGACTAGGGGATTAAGGGGGACTCATTCCCAAAGTCCTTATTCTTTGGTTAAGGTAATTAAGGATTTAAGAGATCTTAAAGATAGACTCTTGAGGTGGGCCATGGCATTCTAAGGTTGAAAGGTCCATTGATGTAGATACTTCACGTTAAGGTGGAATGTCACATTACTGTTCTAAGGGGATTAGCCTAATAGTAACCTAGCTATTAAGTAACCTTAGGATCATCTAAGATCACTCAAGCCAAGCCATTAATCAATCTATGTTCATCTACAACATACTAGGATTTACAATTAGTTTATTTAGGCTCAAATAAGTCAAATTCGAATCTATAAGAGATGGGTCCACTTAGAAAGTTTAGGATCACTAGAAAGGTCTCAAGATCATTTTGATATTCCACGATCAATGACTAGGTAGGAAAGTCATCAACTCTTGATCATCTAAGCTTGCTTAGTCAATCTCCTAACCAGCCTAATAGTTAAGTATTTAAAACCTCTAAAATTTTTGGACCATAAATCTAAAATAAATAAGTATTTAAAATCTTAGAAAAATTATTTAAATTAATGGAGACACATTCGATCTGTACTCACAAGATTGAAACTTAGTATAAAAATTCTATTAAGGCCAAAAAGTTAATAGTTACATGCTTCAAAATACTTATTTATCCACTAAGCTTGTATATATCGTTTGTATATGATCAACTTAGCATATGTCTAAATTCAATTAAAACGCAATAATTCTTTAACAAATAAACAACCTAGGGATGGCGTTCCGCAATGCACATTAATCTATCCTTGATAATATGCACTTTAAACCAAAACTCTTGTAACAGATGCCACACATCTTGAACCTTAGCTCTTATAATGGATCTACCACAAAACGCAGGGCAGGAGAATACCATAATCCTTATAAACTACAACTACCATCCTAATTCCCAACCAACAAATCATGTCAAACAAATAATTTCAAAGCCCACTGCTGAAAAGAAAGAAAAAGCGAGAACTTCAATCAAACAGAAAAGGACTCCCACCAACTAAGGAAACCACATCAAAAACACTTGAAGCAAAGTCATTAACTTGGATTGTGATCAATGTGCTACAAAGAAACATAATAGTGAGAAAGAAACACCACA